CTGACCATCACACACACACACATACCCACACATAACTAGAGAATGAAAAGCAGTAAAATCAGACATAACATTTTGACAATGCTAAACTTTTGATAATATTCACAATACTGCTGTAGTCCTTGCCAAGAGATTTAGTTTATGTTTCTCAGTCTAATCAGGGGTGGTGATGGCGCAGTGGATAAGACACATGCCTTTGGTGTGAGAGACCCGGGTTCGAATCCACTGCGAGACACCAATTTGTCCCTGAACAAGACACTTAACCCCTTGCTCCAGAGGCGTGCAACCTCTGACATATATAGCAATTGTAAGTCGCTTTAGATAAAAGCGTCAGCTAAATGAATAAATGTAAATGTAATCAAGAGAGGACTAGACTAGAGTCTTACCTTAGATGCTGTGGAGTGTGAAGGTCTGGAGTTCCTGTTGTATCTCTCTCAATGAGATTACCTCTTAAATGCACCCAGCCAATGACTCACTGCCCCCTCCCATCAATCCACACCCACACCCACTCAAGATGCAGACCCAAAAGTCACTTAATGGTTATTCATTTACTGGGCTACACATTCCTTACTAAAATGGACCATGTCCATGGTATTCACACTTTGTGCCAAAACGTCAGTTATTACAGTTAAGGTTACTACTGTATAACTGTACATTTTCAAACAGAACTTGGTTTCACTGGCATCGTAAATAAATAAACTGTTTTCATTTTACATTATTTGAAATGTTACAGGCCTAATTAAATTATATTTCTGCCCACATTTTGGACGCGGTTTTAACATAAAATTAAAATGAATACAGATTAGAAAATGTGGAGAAATTTCCCAAATTGTTCACATCTAGATCTCTTGAACTTGAACACTTGAACTGAATAAAATTGTCATCAGCTGTTGAATTAAAAATGAATTGTGAATCACAAACCCGTACTCGTCTGACCAGTGTTGGGGAAAGTTACATTTAAAAGTAATGCATTACAATATTGCGTTACTCCCTAAAAAAGTAACTAATTGTGTTACCAAATTACTTTTTATGCTGACTTTTAAGTTACTGCTATGGAAAGTGATATTGCATTACTTTTTCTCACCTGGGGACAGCAAGTATACTATTGGCAAATGTAAAGGCCTTTTCACACCAAAAGTGACATGAATAAACCTCGGGCTAAAGGAAATGCAAATTCATATCTGTACTAATCATATCTAATAATTAATACAGATTCATAATGATTAGTATTCATTTCTAATTCCACACTCTTACTTCATTCATTCATTAATTCATAAATAAATGTGGTTTATCAAAGTTAGAAGGATTGAATTGGATTATCCAAGGTCAGCAGCAAAGGTGGTGGTTAATAATGTGAGATTAAATAAAGTATATTTGTGTAATAGGTTTGAGTAATATTCTGAGTTTGTATTTCACCATATTTATTCATTTTAAGGAATACTGAATCTGTTTTTGTGCAAGTGTGATGAGAAAGTTAATGTTCACATTCAGTCTAGAACTACAAATAACCATCATATTTACGCAGCACACACGCCTCTGCACCTTTACTTCCGAATTCTCTCAACATGGGGACAAATTAACTTGTGTTACTTATTTGAGAAAGTAACTCAGATGTTTTTTGTAAATGTAAAAGTAATGTTACTTTAGTTACTTGACAAAAGTAATCAATTTATTTAACTCACATTACTTGTAATGTGTTACCCACTACACTGCATCTGACACAGACATGCATACATCTTTTTTTCTATTTTTCATCTCTGATGTCATGGTTGCAGTCCTGTGCATGAATTTCAGTTAGCATATCCATCATGAATGTACAGTATGTGTCTTCAAATACATGGAAAAACTCGTTTGGGTGAAATTTTGGTGAATTATGAGAAATAGAGCTGTGTGGCAACCCCATCACCCACTATGTTCTTGGCAGAGAGGCCATGAATTAAGACTCACTTGTATGTGGTGTGTGAAATAAAGGCACTATAGCACTACAGCGACTAATCCCAGTTAAACATTCCTAAATTAACATTCTGCAAACATTCACTCAGTAACTTACAATGACAATAAAACAGAAATGACAGTGTGCTAGTTCATACAATCATTGAGAATGAAAAAGTAAGACATTTGACTTGCTATCAAAAATATATAATGGATATTGGATAAACAACCATCAAGTCTTTTCCTAATGCATTTGTACTAATGCAAGTATTTTATGCATTACAGATTAATTGTTAAGAGTGAGTTAAACCATAATACATGTTTAACAGGATCAATATGTTAATTTGGATTGACTATGTTACATTAAACCACACCACACATGGTGTTTAAGGATTCAAAGGAAGTATGTTTGCTGAAGGTGGAGAAGTATTCCTCAATCAGCAGTTTCTGCCAATGCCTGACTGTACTCTCAATCATAGTCGAAGTGATAACAGAGGGCTGGGTTTTATAGTGAGAACAGACGGTACACTGACGTCTACACAAATACATTTCACACTAGCAGACCACAATCTATTCTGTTGATTTTCTCCTTTGTGCCTTTAAAAGCAAAAGCTAATAAACATAAATAAGGATGACTGTTATAGTAGCTCAGAATAGATGTTTAGTAAAGGGTTCATGTGTTTCCTAGCAATCATTGTTCTAGACTTGCATCCATGGCAACCCATGCAACAAGCACTGAGTAATGACTTGCCATAATGAGGTTATTCATTCTATAATCATAAATAAGGGTCAGTCCATCTGCACAGTGATAGTAAATACCATCAGCATCATCCCAATCTTTGCATTTTAATCTGAGCTTGAATTGAAAAATGAATCTATTGTTACAACACTTTAGATCAGAAGCAAACTATTTAACTGAACTCAAATTTAATTTAGACAGAACTGAAATTATTTTCTGTTGATATGTGAGGCCTGTTTAGTAATATGATAGTGACTATACACTCATATTTCTTTAAAGCTGCAGTCTGCAGTCTTTCTCTTTGTCGCCATCTCTGTTTCTGCAATTGCAGTCATTTGTGGAATTATCAGCTTTACGCGAGTTGTACTTCGACACGACACAGCGCGGATGAACACAATGTTGGAGGAGTCTGTGAGGCTGTCAGTCGCCGCGCCGGTGTGGATAGTGTCATTTAGAATCACAGATTATTCTTTTTGGAAGTATGACCAATATAAGAATTTTCACCAGAAAATGTCATCTGAAGTAACATCAAGTAACATCCACTTTTGTTCTGGTTCTGACATTGCAGTAAATCGCGCTGATTAAATCTAACAACCGCTTATAAGATATATCACGCAAAACCATGCAAGTTATACTTTGTTCTCAAATTGTTAACGTTAACAACGTCAGCATTGCGTGACTACATGTTTGTTTTCGCATGGGTCCGGTTGCAATCTCTTTTTTGTCTGTAAAGTCCGAATGAAGTCTTTTGCATTTTACAGCAGGTGAATCTGTTGTCACTGGTGATTGTCGTTTGTACCTTTCTGGATCTGCCATCAAATTAATAAGTTTAATTATATCAAGTGCTGTGAGAAAAGGCTATAAATCTTCACCTCCAACATCCTCACACACTCATAGCCTACTATGTGAGACTCCTTCTTTATGTGTATAGATGTGACGTAATGACGCAAAGACATGCTCGACATGAATACTGGCTGGTTATGTATTTTCTCAAAAAAATTATTTTGGATAATTTTTAACCCCAAAAAGCTAAGGACTGAAGCTTTAATATCGACGAAACGGCATGGAAATCAAGCATAGCATTAGTTCTGGCAGGTCATATCAGTCAAGCAATCAGCCACCCTCCATGTTTACCTAAAGAAATATTAATAGCAGCTTTATCCAATTACCCTCATTCATCCCCAGCTCCTCTTGTCCACAGTCAGGACTCTTCGAATCAGACTGTCATTTATCTTGATTTATTGCATTAAATTACTGTCATTAAAAACATTAATGATAAGAGGGTTATAACTGCGCTCCCTGCTCTTTTCAAAATAGGGTGCATGGAGTTCCTGCAGAACAGAACCATACAGCCAATAACTGTATGCTAATTGTCAATCTTTATACAACAGTGGTCCTGAAAGAAAAACTGATCTAATCAGTGAGCCTTTAGCTCCCTTTAACAGAAAAAAACCCCCACAGTAAATCACAAAGCAGAAATTCAGAGTATTGTTATTTTTGTCTGGTTATCAAACTTACTATTTAGGTTTTTTTAAGTTAAATGCAAATATTCAGAGTAAAAAAACAAAACAAAAAATAATTCCATAATTAATGCCCCAGGTTCATAGGTCCTCTATAGAAGTGGTTCGCAACTTTCAATGTTCCTCACTTATGTCCATGCTCTTTGCTGCTTCTTGATCCTGTTACTTTTAAGTTAATCTATTTTCCTGTCTTTGCATTCCTTTTTGGACATCGTTGGCAAATGAGAAATCACCCCCACTCAATGAACCTTTCCACCTTCCCTCCAAACATATGAAAATGGCTTTGTTTAGTAAGGGGACAACTTAAAACAAGAAATATGTATTTTTCTCCTCCTTAAATTAGCATTTAAAATTTTAGAAAAAGTTATATTATGTATTATAACGTTAATATAAATTATTTTAATTAGGGCTGTCAAATGATTAATCGCATCCAAAATAAAAGTTTGTTTACATAATATATGTGGGTGCACTGTGTATAATTATGTTATATATATAAATACACACACAAAAAATATTATTTATATATAAAATATGGATATTTATATATAATATAAATTATATATAAATCTAAAACGTATATACAAAAAATATTTCTTAAATATATACAAGCATGTGTGTGTATTATAACATAATTATACACAGTGCACCCACATATATTATGTAAACACAAACTTTTATTTTGGATGCGATTAATCGTTTGACAGCCCTAATTTTAATATAACAATTTTAAGTCATCAAATTTGCTGAAGCTGCCTAATGAACCAACATAAAAGAGAGCATGACAACTTCGATTTTCATCACAAGCTGTGGGATTTTTTTTTTATTGTCCTCAGCACGTTCAACACACTATTTGTCAATGTGTGACATGCGTCTTTAATAAAAGTAATTTAGGGGGTTAAACCTCTAAATACAAAAATCACAACATTAGATGAAAACTGTATTTCAAAGAAAACAATACTTTTGCATTTTTTGTACAGGTGTATATACAAAACAAAGGCAAAATACCTCAAAACGAACAAATAGGAAGAAACAGACCCTTTCTACAGGTGTACTAGTTGAAGAGTGCTTGTGGATTAAATCAAAAGACCATTGGTTAATCTGTTAAAAATTAAGAATGGAAATATGTACAGATGAAAAACCCCAGACTCCTAAACAATGAAGTTTTTCTTCAGTACAAACTGTGATCCACTCAAATGATACATTACTCTCACAAATTAGCATATTATGGTGTGTATATCATATAAAACATTTGGTCATTTGTCAGTGAAAATATGACAACCTTAAAAGGGACTGTGTTACTGTGATACTCTTGTTTTAACACATACATAGACAGAATAAGTACTCATGCCCCAAAACCAAAGCAAGAGAAAAATACAATACTGCCTTAGTGATGGACATTTAAAGGATAATTGGCAAATAAAGAAGAACATTCCAGGCCTCTGGACTAGCACACAGAGAATACCACACGTTACACGTCATAATAATAAACAGCTAGAATTCATACCAAACCTTGATAAGGTCAGAAATCAAAAAGCATTTAATTGATAGTAAAAAAATTAATTTGCTAACCATTTAAGTGCCATAATACTTCTTTAACAGCCAACCAAAAAGTTAGATATAACCAGCACAAACAGTGGGATTGAGGACTGCTAAAAAATATATTCACAGAGAATACATATAGGCCAAATCAAAATAGGAAAGGGGATAAAGACACTGGGGCATGGGAGAGGCCAAACCAAGCGAATTTCAAAGCAAACAAAAACACATGACAAAGTTCTGCATTTAAAGCATTTGCATGCAATTTTCATATTCAAAACATGATTATGCCGTTATTATTGCTTTCTGCTCAGTATTGTTTTGGATAATTCTTCATTTCCACACCAGACCCTGATGCTCGAAGAGGACGATTTCACTGTGCTTTTTACACATTTTTTTTTTTTTTTCAAACGACTGTACTATACCGCCGTCTCCTTGCAGTTTCTGACTCTCCTCCTCAACTATAAAACAATAGTTTCCCTGAGCAGTCCCAAAATACCCTTTAATGAGGTCAGATATCGAATGGATTGTCTTTCACGGAACAGATACAAACAAGAACACTACAGATAAAGCAGTGCCAGCCCTTACAAAAAACATTTAACAGAGATGTTAGATCAGAACATATTTACTAAGGTTATTGCTTGTCCTTGTATGTAGGCTGCGTGCTAAATGCATTCAATTTGGTTCAAATGAGTGTTGGTGAAGGGGCACAAAAGTGTTGACACAAAGTTACTGTGAAAAAAAAAACCCCCCCAAGCCTGCATGTGTACACAGCTGCAAATTAAAGAATGAAACGCAAAAGTGACTCTTTATTCTCTCCTCTTCCCTGATGAGCATTACTAGGTGCAAAACTAATCTCAACATATCTCAAAAAGGGTCAGTTAGGAACAACGTCAACCTCCTCCATCCCCACGACATTTAATACAAACAGCTAGATCCCCTGGAATGTCAACACATGCCCCTCGTCTGTCAATCATCTCTCTACTCAGCTCACTTTGACGGAAATCTAATTACAGAATCAATATGGCACAACAGGGCGTCACACCACTGTCTACTCTAGACAACGCGAGCTGGCTTTAAAAGACAGATTTGACAAAACACAGACAAGTATTTCAGATCTCACAGATCTAAAATAACAGCATGTTCCTTCAGATTTTTTCACAAAATGAATTGAAATCGTTTATTGCTGGGAAAAAACACAAAGTGCTACCTTTCGTTAAGTTCTAAACATCATACATTGCATGATTTAACTAACCATATAACAAGTATATATGCACGTATTTGAGCTCACTGCCTCAGAATATACCATTAGATCATGTAAGTTTCACTACGATAGTGATTCAGGTCTCATAGTTTGAGTCCCATGTCATGCCTTGTCCACTGGCTTCTCCTGCGGCTGGGGCAGTGGTTTTGCCGAATGATGTCCCTGCTGATGTCTGTGTAGTGGAAGAAGTCAGTAAAGGGCAGTGCTGTGATGTGATGCTAGCACCAACATGGGTGGTTCATTGTGCCAACGGAGAAGAAAGACAGGGATTTCAGCTCCAGACGTTCATTTCCTGTCCCTGTCTACCCCAGCCAGACACCTCATTACCCGTTATGGCCGGTAGAGGGCGCTGCTGGGGCAGTTAAACGCAGTGGGCGTGTCCACTACGATTCCCATACAGTCGGAACAGGAGGCTGAAAGATAAAGCTGTGGGATTGAGGAACGCTCTGAATCACATTACAAAATATCGGCCTGTTTTTTTTCCCCCCTCGCATCTATAGTCTCCTCTTCTTGTCAGCCTTCTGGTGCTCGGCCAATGGGGCGAGTTAAAAGTGTAGCTGGACACTGAGAAGTGCTTTGTGAGAATGCAGTGTGCATGAACTGAGGCTGAAGTGAGATTAGAGTTCTTGTCAGCATGTTAGTATTATCTCTCTCTCTCTCTGAGTCTTTTTGTCTCTGAATCTGTGCAGTATTAGGATAAGTCTCTATCAGGCCTCCTGAGGCAGAACCTGCTCAAATTCGGAGCCAAACAGCTCCTTATAGAGTGGAGGGAAGCGTGTTTGGACTGTTTCTGGGTAAAGAGCTCTGAATGCGCTCAGTTTCTCCATGTGGCGACGGCATAACATCCGAACGGTGGACACTTTACAGACCAGCTAAAGGAAGGACATCAAAAATAGAGATATTTGACTTGTGTAGACAACTTCATGTTCACCAAAGCTGCATTTATTTGTTTATTTTACAAACACACGCACACAGTGCATGTAGAATTGTTAGGCACGTTGATTTTCTGATCACATTTTTTCCCATGCACATTTGTACCAATTCCAAACCACATTAATCTTAATAAGTACTATTAATTTTGTATTTAATCATTTATAAGTGATGTGTAATTCTTCATGAAGGCTGCAAAGGAAAAACGCATTTTATTCAGGTGTGCATAGTTATTAGGCACGTTTTCTTTTACAGATGAAATAAGCCAAAAAGTAAATTATTAAATGCCCATGAGAGGGATGGAATATTAAAAATTGCAGTTAAGGGATAATAACCATTGGACAGTGAAATGCTCACTGGTTCAGCAGAGTCAGACAAAAACAGGTGGAGAAGGAAAGACACATGTTAACTGCTAAAGAATTAAGATGATGAGTGTGAAACCATCAGGAACCCATCTGAAGAATCCATCTTCCAGAATCTGGCAGTAAGTTTTGAGAGTTCATTTTAAGTCCATCTCCTCCTACCCTGAAGTCCTGAACTGTTTTGCTGAGATGGACTAAAAATGAACTCCCAAATGTTACTGCCAGATTCTGGAAGATGAATTCTTCAAACAGCGGTACGAGAGGATGTGATGCTGGTCCTTCAAGAGTCACTCTCAATCAGTCTGTCAATAAAACCAATTAAAAATGTATTTTACTACACTTCAGCTTATGATTCTTATTAAGTGAGGGTCATTTTCTAGGATTCTTTACCTAACCTCAGTCTTCGAGATCCTGACATCTTGCACTTCAGGGAGACTCTGGGCAGGTTGCAGTTCTGGAAAATGGTGGCGCTGGAGACTAAAGGGTTCCTGATGGTTTTAAACTTAATTCTTCACATTAATTATTTAGCAGTTAACATGTGTCTTTTCTTCTCCATCTGTTTTTGTCTCACTCTGATGAACCAACGAGCATTTCACTGTCCAATGGTCACGCCTTAACTGCAATTTCTAGTATTGCATTACTATTGCATTCTTCTCATGGGCATTTAATAATTTTTGACAATTCAGTCTGAGTTAAGTCTCTTTTTTGGCTTATTTCATCTGTAAAAGATTTTTTTTTTCATTTTTTTTTTTTTTTATTATTTATTTCAGGCAATGGCACAAAAGTACAAGGCAGACAAAATGTTTGTTAAGTCATACAGTGCAAAAAGAAACAAGAAACAAACAAAAAACAACAACAAAAAAAAAAAAAAAAAAAAAAACAACAACAAACAAAACAAATCGAATTCTACCTGAAAGGGAGAGGGAAGAAGAAAACTAATTTAATCCCACCCCAGTTCACCACTTGGTGATTAATACATTATGCTTCATGTTTACTTTGGTCACGGATTGTTTACATAGGTTGTATCATGGTGGCGTTACCACAGTCACAATAATTTATTATAACAACATTATCAAACAGTTTAAGAAGAATAAACAATACCAACTATGGTAATGAACAATATACCAATGATGGTAATGGACAATATACCAACGATGGTAATGGACAATATACCAACGATGGTAAGGAAACATTGAGCACATGTTAACATTATAAGACAGAGTACAACATCAATATAAATTAAAAATCCTCCTCTCTGTATTTTAACCAGACCCTATGTTTATATGACAATTTAAATTGATGGATAGTTTGACATTGCTTTTGTTGTAAGTCCAGCCTTTTGTTTGCAGCCTTAATGAACAATTATACACCACTTATAAATGATTTAATACAAAATTAATAGTAGTTAAGATTAAGATTAATGTGTTTGGAATTGGTAAAAAGTGCCTGGGGAAAAAAATTATCAGAAAATCATTGTGCCTAATAATTCTGCACGCACTGTATATGTAATATACAGTACATACAAATATAATAAAATATATACACATACACTATAAACAAAAACTTATGTTAGATCGCAATTAATCGATTTTGAAAGCACTAATATAAATACAGTGTGTATATATACACATACACCAACAGTGATCCGATGAGTAAAACTAACTAGTATAATATGAATGTAACCGTATTAATGCACGTATGTACCTTTGTGAGAATTCCCTCATCCCTCTGGTTCTTCTGTAGGAGGTTCTGCAAGGCGATCTTGATCTTCTGCTGGAGTTTCTCCACTCTGGTCTTCTCCTGCAGCCAGCAGCGATCTACACACACAAAAACAGTTCAGTCCCTGCACAGATTCACCAGGGTTGGGGAAAATTCTGATGAGTTGGAATTAGAACTGCATTGGTCACACCCCAGAGAAAGTTCAACTGGAATGACAGGAAGCGAAAATTTCCCAGAACACATTATATAATTTATTTGATTAAGTGTTCTTCCACAAAAAGTTTATTATTATTAAATATGATTAAATATACACTACCTTTCAAACGTTTGGGGCCGGTGTGATTTTTTAAAATGTTTTTGAAAGGAGTCTCTTTTGCTCATGAAGGCTGAACTTACTTGATAAAAAACAGAGTAAAACCGACAATATTATAAAATACTGTCTATTACAATTTTTAAAGAACTATTTTCTTTTGTAATAAATGTTAAAATGTAATTTATGCCAAATTTCACATGAATAAAAAGAAAAACAGATCTCATTTCTCATTAAGTAATATGGCTCCATGTAATAAACAAATCACACACCAAAGGCCTGAACTGGAAGTGATGCAGCCGGTTTTACAGAAAATGGAAGTTTGTTGCACTGGAATTTTACATTTTATTATAGAAGGTGCACAACCCTGATATTCAGAGACTGCAGAATCAAAGCCTCTGCATAACTGATGCAATCCCAACTCCCATTAATGAATCTCTCTGATATTGCCTTTACTTTTCTTCCCTCACCTGCAGACATCAGCACGTATGATGAAAACAGGCCAATCTCATCCTCACTTAGCTGTAGAGAGTTCAGGCTCTTAGCAAACTCGAACACAGAGCTGATAAGATCATCACAGCCTAGAAAAGCATAAAAACAGTGGTTAATGCTTTGCATTTCCATTTGCAATTTCCTTTTCCTTTAAAAAAAGAAATCCAGTTCTTAATGCGCACCCAGAGCTTTGAAGACCTCCGGCCCAGCATATTTGCTGTCAAAATAGACAGTGTTGTTCTGGGAGTTATATGCCCGACACATCCTCACAAACACAACTTCTAAAGAACCTGAGAAGCAGAAAAACACAGGAAAAAAAAATAGTTTTCAGTGGTTCTGCCACAGTTTGTCACTTCATTGATGTACTTTTGCTGGTTATGCGAACTAGGATATGTTTAGAACTTTATCTGAAGTGTACCTGCTTTGAGCAGCACGATCTGATCATTCTGACAGAGCTCCATGAATCCATCAATGCGCTTGGCAAACTCAACCACATACTGCACTGCTTCGGTGACTTTAACCGCACACAGCTGCCACATGTCCTCCTGAGACTAGATGGTGCAGAGAGACGGTCTGTTAGTACACACACCTGATTATTCCTCATAAAGTGCACTCATCCATTTGTCTGTCCATCCATTGATACATACATACAAAACAAAGAAGAAATGTAGGTAAAACAAGAAATAAACTAATTATTACAAATGTTTCCTTTTTATAAACTTTTATCAACATGCACTACTCATAAAACACACCATATGAAGCATGCAGTCGCTCCTATAGTCGACCAAACGTTAGTCGATGAATAAAGGCTTAGTCAAACAAGGCTTTGTCGACCAAATTCCACAGGAATTGGCAAAGTCACGTCAGTTCGAGACAGACTCATCGTTAAACGGTCCATATGGTAATTATATCAGGCAGGAAATCCAAACGTTCGCCTATCATTCATCAACATCAAACATGGCTTATCATTTAAGAACATTTAAATTGTAGCCATATGTTAGCCACTTTACATGGCCGCTCGCTCTACCGTTAAACTATATCTAAGTGTTTGTGCGAAGTGCGGAAGCTAAATTAGTCCCACACTTAACTGAATAATTATTCAATTCATAAATGTGCGACTACTCGACTAATGGCTTTAATTAACGACTACAAGTTGACTAGAAAAATTTTTGGAAGCTCTATAAAATCCAGTGGTGGTCATTAAATAAATTCGAGACATTAAAGCGATTCGTCTCGGCTGACCATATGTGATAAGATCATCTGAGATGTTAATACCAGGTGTGCACAGAGCCAAAAAGACATAACCAAACACCTTCTTTTGGTACGTGTCCAGGTCGGTCTGTAAGACTGTCTGCCAATTGCTGGGCTGTAGTTCCTCTCGAAGATACTGGCACGTCTCCAGGTGAGACTTGCAGATGTTCTCTGACAGATGTTCTTTGTTAGAAACACACAAATAGAGTCAAACAGCTGGAGGTGACACACATTCCTGGGCTTGTAAAATGCACATCAGATATTCTGAATATTATTGCCGCATTACATTTTCTAAAACAAATTCATTAAGACTAATTTCAGTAAAAAGGTGGGAAAAGTGCTCTGGTACTCTTTGACTGGCGTGTGTTAATGAGGTACTTCCTACTAATGACATGTTAAATGGGCCATGGAGGTGAGTTCAGAGACCCCTGCTGTTTCAAACCCCACAGCTGTCAATCATGCCCGTAATGGCAACATCCTTTATAATTATTTAGGGCGGCACAATGTAATTTAATTTGATATTTCCTTTCTTTGCAATTACATGGCAATTGATGCCAACATAACTAATAGTTAATCTATGATACAAAAATATTCTGTCTTTGTACTTCTATGATGTATTCAATTCAAGCATCCAAAATAAGATTTTTTTTTTTCATGTGAAATATGTATTTTTGCAAGTGATTAGTATTACCTAGATCACTGTCAGGAGGTGAAGATTCTCCATTGCTATAGCAACAATATTGATCCAGGCCAGAGTCTGAGCTAAGGTCGCATACAGCTTCAAGTTTAATGCCATCCATGTCTAGACCTGACTGGTCTGGAGAGGGCTGAATGTCCAGGTAAAATCCTCCAATTGCTGGATCTGCCTTTCCCTCTTCTGGGGTCTGACCATTCACGTATCCACTGAGGTCATCTGGGAGCTCTGTGACGCCATTGGTGGACAGGGCGTAAGAGGGTGTGAGTGGCTCTGCCTCTCCTGGAGGTTGAGGTTCCCGCCCCTTCTCGGTCTCATCACCCATTTTCTCATCCTGCTGCTGTTGGCGGTGTTTCTGAACTTCTGCGAAAAGACTGTCCCTCTGCTTCTTAGACATGCGGCCGAACTTCACAGCTGCAAGTGAACACACAAAAGCAAGATAAAAGCAGTCGGTTAATCATTAATGACCTTATTATCATACTATACGTTTTAAAGCATTGATAACGCTTTACAATAATGTCCCTTTTGATTTTAATAATGTATTAGTAAATGTTGGGACTAACATCCACTAGGATTAATAAATGCTTTGATATACTCAAGGCAAAGTTCTTTCCCATTCTTTGATTAGGGGTAAAACAAAGTGCGAAATACGTGAACAGCGATATACTGTTAGCGAACATCCAACACTGCCCACACTGCTGAGTGGCGTGCTTTCCTCTCATTAACATAATTAACACACAACAAAATTAAGAAAACGAAGGAAGCCCTGAACCACAATGTAAAAAAAAAAAAATAATAAAAATCTAGCATTTCGAGATTAAAGTTGAAATATTTCAAGATTAAAGTCGAAACATCCAGAGATTAAAGTTGAAACCTTTTGAGATTAAAGTCGAAACATTTTATGTTTCGAGATTAAAGTTGAAATGTTTCGACTTTAATCTTGAAATTTTTCGACTTTAATCTCGTAATGCTACATTTTTTGTTGTGGTTCAGGGCTTCTGTAGAAAACAACAAGTATTTAAAAAAAAAAGAAAATATACATAGAAATGGATATGTTTGCATGAGCTCTGCAATTCGGCACTCTAGTAAAGTCACGTCATGTTTATTTATATATCACTTTATACAATAAATTGCTTAAAATCAAGCAGCTGTGCTGTATTAAACATGAAAAACAGTGTCAGTGTCTGGTTTCATCCAAAGGACTACTTCAATTTCTACAATAAAGCACTGCAAAAATTGCAACTGAAATGATAACTGAATTACAAAATATTTGAAAAAATGCAAATGTTTTAGCATATGCCATTGCTTAAAAACATCAAAGCTCATGTAAGTTTCTCTATGGCGAACACGAATGGGATTTTTACATTATAAACTCTACTGTCACACTCTAAATAACTGGAGAGAATTAGATACACCAGCAGCCACATGCACATCACTCAGACTACTGTGAGAGTTGAGAGCATACCATCTCTTGACATGCCCACTGCTAAGCATTTCTGCAGGCGACAGTGCTGGCAGCGGTTTCTGCTGGTCCGGTCGATCAGACAGCTCTTCTGCCGAGGACATGAATATGACACAGTGCCCTGCTGACTCCTCCGGAAGAAACCCTGAGAGAGAGAAACAACAATAAGTCCTCTAGATTAAATTTTTGACATTTGCAGCACAATTCAGATTGATTTATAAACTCTTTAATCAGTCCAGTAACTAAATAATACATGTGTATATCCCAATTACTGTGGCCATAACATTCCAGTCACATATTTCCATCCAAATAAGTGAGTTTTTTGCACATTTTTTTGCCTCTCTTTCCAGTGCAGTGGCGCGTTATGTGAGCTCCAAATGAACTTGGATGCATGAAGAATGCATGAAGTGTAAATGCCTCTAGAGCACTAAGGTGTTCGCATGCACCTTCTGTGGTGGTTCATGCCACACTCACATGAAAGTATAAACAAGGCTTTGGCATAGCATTCTGGTTTCACTTTAATCTTTTCGTCTGTGTGTGTTAATGGGAATGATGAGTAATAAAGTAAAATAGTATTACAATTTAAAATATTTGTATTATATTAAAAAAAATTATTTATTCCTCTAATGGCAAAGCTGAATTTTAATTATCATTATTCCAGTCTTCAGTGTCACGTGACCCTACAGAAATCATTCTAATATGCTGATTTGATGCTCAGGAAACATTTCTTATTACCAAAGTTAAAATTAGTTGCACTGCTTAATATAACCATGGATTCTTCTATGAATGGAAAGTGCAAAAAACAGCATTTATTTGTAATTTATTTAGACATTTTTTTGCAGCATTATAAATGTATTCACTGTAACTTTTATAAACTAAATGAGTCCTTGCCAAGTAAAAGTATTTTTCCATATATACTCTCACACTATATTTGCTTCTATTTTAGAACACTTGATGATTATCTAATCAAAATAATAAAATATGCCTTTTAGAGACGATAAAAATAACTGAAATCGAATGCATTTCTGATTCTTAATATGTTTCTGCAAGTTGCATGATATGGTTTACTCTATCACTAGCTTTAAATATGCAACTTTGCTGCATACCAAATGCATAAAAGTGACCAGCTGGATATAACCTAACGTAAATAGATGGTATCAAAACTATTAATCATGACAATAAACATTCGGGTCAGGCTCGCGAGAGTTTTTTGCCATTGTTTTAACCGCTTAAAGTGCTACTAATGTTAGCGTCCACTCTGCCTTGATGCCAAACATACTGCTCTTCTCCACTAATAAAGCATCTAGTCAACAAATGAATTACTTTAGAATGATATGACAACATGTACGGTAGTCTACTCTATACATTGATAAACCGATATACATATACATTGTCTATACATTATCTATACATTGTACTCTATACATACAGTCTATGTTTTAAAGGGATACTCCACTTTTTTGGAAATAGGCTCATTTTACAACTCCCCCAGAGTTAAACAGTTGAGTTTTACCGTTTTCAAATCCATTCAGCTGATTTTCCGATATTTAGAATATTTCATTGACTCATTGACTACCATAGTATATATTTTTTCCAACTATGGTAGTCAATGAGACCAGAAAGTTCTGTCTGGTTACTGATATTCTTCTAAATGGGGGAGTTGTGAAATGAGCCTATTTCCAAAAAAAAAAAAAAAGTGGAGTATCTCTTTAAATCTGTATATGTGCAGGGAGCAGCTTCATGTGTCAAAACAAACACCACAAGGTGTCAGTGATTTCACTTCTACAGGCCGCTCTTATACCGTAAATTGACAGCGGGCCCTTCCCAGACGCTCCAGCAACGGACGCAACCCAGAAAAATAATAGGTATGAGAAAACTGACTAGAAATCCACCAATCTCTATTTTAAATGATAGTATATAGTATAAAAAAAGAGTATGATTTTAAAGAAAATGATCGACTGAGATGTTTCTTTTTCTTTTTCTTACCTTGCATCCCTCACAGGTGATAACACCATAATGGATCCCTGATGATTTATCTCCACAGATTTTACAGGGAATACTCTCAATCTGAGCTAAAAAAATAAAAATAAAAAGACAGAAAGACACTTTTAGGAAATTGAGAAAAAACAAAACAGTTGTCATTTTCTTTTTCTATGCAAAAATACTTTTTGTTAGTAAGTTTCCCATGAAATACTGTGAGGATTTTAACATTGCGCTGTTTGAGCGGCCCCCACCATCCATAGCAACACTGGTTCAAACAATTGGCATGAGTTTAGGCTTTACGTTCCATACAACTAAAAACGTGCGTTTTGTAAACTTGTTTGGAGGAACAATTCTATTTAGTGCTGCAGAAATTACAAAGTTCTGTTTGGATTACAGTTCTGTTACAGATCTGTTTTTGTCTCTGGAAAAAAAAAAAGTTTTTATTCATTTAAACTAATCAGCAGACACCATAATCACATCAAGACTAATTCCACAGCTCCTGACCTCCTGAATTAGCTAACACAGAGAGAACAAGGCCTGAGGTCTGTTGTGCAGAGTGTAACCTCAGGCTTTAGCTACAACGGTAAAACATACATTATATATATATATATATATATATATATAAGGCATGGGCGAAAAATCGATTAAATGAATTAATTCAAATTTTTGTTGCGGGCGATTTTAAAAATAAGTAAATCGAATTTTTGGTCGTAAATAAATCGTAAATCGAATTTAAAAAATAAAATAAAATCTGAGATTTTATTTTTAGGCCATATCGCCCAGCCCTAATATATATATATATATATATATATATATACACACACACACACACACACAAATTCATATTTTTTTAAATGAATCCAGGCAGCACCACATAAACCACTCAATTTATTCAAGCAGAAAAAAATGGCTCTGACTATTGAGATCACCCAAGGGACTGACTTCATCTGTAAGTACAATCTGCTCTCCAAACATCCAACATTCATTTGGTTAACAACAGTATGACAATGCCATTCTCCCTCAAGCGATGAGCTTGCTTCATGATAACGCTGTGGTGCATTTCAGTAAATATCAAAGTCAAAATGCACTCCTAGTTGGAGATGGCGTCTGCATGCTCATGGATTGTATGCAGTAGTCGTGCATGAATCCCTCAGCGGCACGGCTGCGGTTGGTTGTGAAAGAGAACGCAGAGACGGTGTGCAAGGCTTTTGAAAGGGATGCTGGGGGAATAGAGCAGGAGGAGAAATCCATTTAGAGAAGAGCAATGCAGTCGTTCCGGCAGCCCTGAGGCGCATACAGTACAGGATGAAAAAGTAAAATGCATCTCATCACCAGAGTGCTCTCTCTTTTCTCTCTCTCAGTCATAGACTCATACTCATACGGTTTTTTTTTCATCTGCGGACTCTATTTGCAAAGGCATCAGAGTTTGAGAATGACTATTTTCTCATGATTCCAGAAAGGGCTAATCCCCTTTGGTTCTGCATGCCGTATTCATTAAGGGCATCCTCACTCTCTCTCATTAGATATGTAAAACCAATCGGCAGTAATTAGTTACTCCAAAGCACAAAACGCTAATCTGGTCTGAATTATGGATTAATACATCAAAGGCACATTCTCCCAGGGCAGCCGCTAAAGTCTTGCAGCAGTAGGTACCGCTGTTCGGCTCTGATGCAAGGGCACGGCTTACAGAGCTGCTATTTCAGACTACAGAAAAGGAACGTTCTTGAAGGCCATATACAGATGAGGATTGTAAACGCATGAAGACTGCACAACAATAGAAGTGTGTGTGTGTGTAAAGAGATTTGATTGCTGTTCTTAGTAGCACTGATATATTAGCCAGGCCATTCGGTGAAACCGTTGTTGTCGGTCAGTCATTTATTGTAGGTTTAGCGGGTCCACCCTGGGTTCACCTCAAAGAGCATGCACAGAGAAGTCAAAACTAAACATGATTGAATGACTCGTAAACGCAAGTACACATGCGATCAGTTCCGGCGGAACTTTGAACATGATTCAGTTCGGTTCAGTTGGACATTGCACAACTGATTCAGATCACTTGGACGTCACTGTGATTACACGAGGTAAAAACAATATAAATACTGTTCGTTTTCTCACAAAAACCGCTCGTTTCGTGTCTTAGGCCATCAATGTGTACTTACATTTACGAGTCATTAAATCATGTATAATTTTGACTTCTCTCATGCTCTTTGACGTGGACCCCCTATACCTGCATTATATGACTGATAGACAACAACGGTTGGACCGAAAAATGTCAAAATTGAAAATACTGTGGAAACAAAGACACCTACATCTTGGATGCCCTTGAGGTAAGTTAAAACATATCAAAAATTAGTTTCAAAGTGAACTATCCCTTTAACTGTTTTATTAATCATTAATATATAGACATTAAGAGAATTGTTATGCAAGTACTTTTAATACTTAAGTACATGTAAAATCAGGTACTTTTTAATTAAGTAGGGTTGTCATTGTGGTACTTCTACTTTTACTTAAGTAAATATGTCTGTGGTTATTTGTACGTTTACTTAAGTACTGAGATTCAGTACTTCCTCCACCACTGTATATATATACATGCATCGATATCAATAGACTGAAAAAACCATACCAGCCCACCACTGCATGTTTATTCTTGTCTGAAACATTTTATAGCCAAGCATCTACAAACCAACCAATATTTTACAAACATGTACCATTATCCGCAAATGCAGACTTTCGAACACACAAGAGACTCTCTTTTCTGTTTGCAAGTGTCGCTTCCTCCCCATGAGAGGTTGTGGTTTAACATGTTTGGTTTCTCTCCCGGTGTGAAAGTGCTGATGTGCTGTCTAAGTAGGAAACATAAAACACAACACCCAACCAATGTCAAAGCCTGCAGATACACACGCACAGACACACACATGCGTTCCCTCCCCCTTTGGGCCTTCTGTAATCTGTTGACAACACTGACTCACAGCGGCTTGAGATAAACACTTCATCATAACAAAGGAAGAAGGAACATTCTGGCACATAAAATAGTCTTAAACTGAACCATCCTCAAACTTGAAAGGTCTTTGCAAACGCATAGACATTATGTCGTTATTTTCTTATTACCCTAATAATCATTCATTATTGTCATTATGTGTAATTAGGTTGAAAATAAAGACTTAAAAATGATCTTCTCCAAGAACAAACTTAATGATGACCAAGCCCTTTAAATTCAACTAATTAACAGTCATGCCTAACCTTAATTGACACTAAATGAAGCCATGGTGTTCTTTGTAAGCGAGTTTCGGTTCTGGCAAGTCAGTCCCAGGATGAAACTCTTTAATCTTATTAACCTCTGGTTAGGATATCAGCAGGTCACGCAAGAAAAAGAGATGCTTTCACAACTAGCTTTTTCGTAGACAAAAAGATCTTTGATAATCAATCATTTTAGTTTGATCTGAAAACAGTAAAGGAGGACACATTTTTTGAAGTGCTGAAATAATCTCTAATCTCTTTGAGAAAGAAACGGCGGAGGCTCACACAGATGTTCCACTGCCCTATACCTTATCACTAATAGATAATGACAGCTGCCAGCAAGACTTTGCATTGCCTGTGTATGTGTGTGTGAGTACATGCGCACAGTGATTCAGAGTGGGGGTGGGGGGGATTAAGTAAAACACAGCCGTTGGTGGAATAAAAATCCATGCGCTCCAATGGCAGTCCACCACTGCCTACCATAAATAGGTCAGTAGAACAACATTCCCCAATCATCCAGCATGGCAACATTCCCATGCCGTGCCAAACAGCCAACATGGCCGCCCATGTATGAGCTGTCAGAAAGACGCCATCGTATCACATCCCATCCAACACACACTTACTGATTTATTAACTTATGCTCACTGCAGTTTCAGATGGACTGAGACGTTCCCTCAAACGCACACATTGCACATTACTACAAATCAAAAAAAAAAAAAAGATCTAATAGTCACTTTGCAATTCAAAATAGAAAACATGTAAATGAACATCCAAAACAGCACACAGGACAGTCCATGATGTTTTGGAAGCAAAACAGCCACATTATACATGCAAGAGCTCAAAACATTAAAGAAACATTAAGACAACAGCTCTCAAGCACTCAAATCTCTCAAGTGCACCCAGGCACGCATTTGCATGGATTTAGCCAACTTGTAAGTCCCTCTCCTACCTTTCATGGCTGTGATCATTAAGTACATCCTGAGGCTCTGTGACCATGCAGAGGACCGTCAATAGCCTTGCCTCAAGAGCATGTGCAGGTCTGGACACAAGCGTTGTGCTGCCGACTGACTGTAGCGCTGCTGTGCCTCCCCCTGCCTGTCGTCTCTACCGCATGAGAATCCATGTGACCGTGACATAAGGACTAAAACCCTTTCTTCCCGCCCCCTCAACCCCCGGAGTGACAGCTGTGCCACCCAATAGGTGATTAGTGAGCAAGTGTTTAGATGACTCTGTGGTTTAAAGGGTTAGTGTTGGCTCACCTTGCACTGCTCTGCAACGTGTTCTGCTGATACTATAATGTATGCAGGAAGTGATCTGCAGTCTCACATTATGAGAGCAAACCTAAACATTTTCCCTACCTCCGAGAGGCATCGGCTACCTGTAGCCTGTAGTCTTTTTGATGACATGTCATCATTATTATTACTTAGCACATTATACATTACCAAGGATCTAATCTACATACGAACTAAAGGCAAATATACAATGTGCTGAATAAATGTTTTGAGTGGACTTTTCACCCTGGAGGTGCTTTGTGGCACTTTTTAAAATGACAAGTTATCAATTTACCCAGACTTGACTAGATTTCACTAACTTACTGCAAGTACAGTAACTTAAAAATGCATGTATGTTTAATGTAAAAAATACACGTTGAATGTAAGAATATATATTACTGTTAAAAAAATTGGGGTCAGTAAGAGTTTATTTTTTATAAATCAAGTTTATTCAGCAATGATGAATTAAACAGATCAAAGGTCAAGGCATTTATAATCTTACACAAGATTTATATTTCAAATAAATGCTGTTCTTTTGAACTTTCTATTCATCAAATAATCCTAAAAAAATGTAATCATGGTTT